CTTTCCGAAAACAAGGGATCTTTCAGAAACCAAGGGAATAAGGCAGGATGTGGGAGTGGGGTGACTTGTCCAGCCAGCTCAAAGCCTTGAGGTGTCCGGGTAGGCAAGGCGGGCTTAGTGAAGGGACGAGCCCATATTGTCACATCTTTCGTTTTTCAAGAGAAGGCCAGAGAACCACTGAGTTTTCCATGTTGGCGGCTAAGTCACACAAAAAGGAAAAGCCCAGCTCGTTTGAGAGCCAGACAAAACGTGTCTGTGGCAGGATCCCCAGGCTGCCAATTTGCATCCTCTAAAATGAAGGGTTTTGAGAAGGAGGTATTGGTGAGCAGTGCCAGAAGGGGTGGGGAAGGGGACGGAGAAGAGAGGACTGGCAGCAAGGAGGTCATTGGATGCTGGAGCCGCGTGCTGAGGTCCCAGCTGAAATTGGAAACGCGAAACCTGTCTCGCTGCCATATGCAGTCGTATGATTTTCCTTGGCAGCATTTAACATGTTATGAGGAATTGGCAGAGGAGGAGTTAGTGGCCGGTTGCAGCCAGGCAAGGAATTGAGGAATGTGGTGCTGGTCAGAGAGTTAGCTGAAGTGATGTCTATCGTGAGACCCACTATAGAAGGAGAGGATCTAAGCTAGAAGGGAGTGGGTAGAACTAGAAGAGGAGAATGAAGTGAAAATGGGGAAATATTAGCCCTGGCCGGTTTGACTCAGTGGATAGAGCATTGGCCTGCAGACGGAAGGGTCCTGGGTTTGATTCTGATCAAGGGCACATGCCTGGGTTGCAGGCTCGATCTCCAGTAGGGGGCATGCAAGAGGCAGCCAATCAATGATTCTCTTCATTGAGGTTTCTCTCTCCATTCCTCTCTGAAATCAATAAAAATTAAAAATAAAAGATAGGGAGCTATTAGACTCGGTGAGGTTGAGTGAGAGAACTGGAAGGATTGGAGATTATGGTATCTGAAGAGGAGGGTAGGAGGGGGTAAAAATGAGCAAAGACAATTCATTAAAGTGGCTGAAATTCATCAAGAAGATATTTCCAAGTAGAAATGGGCTCCATCATGGCTATTCTGACTAATATGTATATTTTTTAAAAAAATATATTTTATTGATTTTTTACAGAGAGGAAGGGAGAGAGATAGAGAGTTAGAAACATCGATGAGAGAGAGACATCGATCAGCTGCCTCCTGCACATCTCCCACCAGGGACGTGCCCGCAACCCAGGTACATGCCCTCGACCGGAATCGAACCTGGGACCTTTCAGTCCGCAGGCCGACGCTCTATCCACTGAGCCAAACCGGTTCCGGCTAATATGTATATTTTGATTCAGTTACTCTCTAAGCTTCAAGGTAAGGATAATAATAGTAGTACATTTGTATAGAGTTGTGGAGATTAAGTGAGAAACACTTGTAAAGGTCTAGTAGTGCCTAGCACAGAGCAGACACTCAGTAAACATGAGCTGTTATCCTTATGGTAGCTGGGAGTTTCCCTTTAGCTGCACAGAAGTTTCTGAATGGGGTCCTGAGAGGCTCCCCCCGGGCCACCACAGGGGCTGAGGGGCTAAGGGGGTGTGTGTGTGTGTGTGTTCCAGTTTCCTTCTTTGTTCCTGCAGAAACACCCTCCTCCAACTGGAGCAGTCATGCTTTTGTCTGTTTATTTGTTTATATCTCCCAGAGAATTGATTTTTTTTTTTTTTTGATAAAGAGTTCAAGTGAGCCCTAACTGGTTTGGCTCAGTGGATAGAGCGTCGGCCTGCGGACTCAAGGGTCCCAGGTTCAATTCCGGTCAAGGGCATGTACCTTGGTTGTGGGCACATCCCCAGTAGGGAGTGTGCAGGAGGCAGCTGATCGATGTTTCTCTCTCATCGATGTTTCTAACTCTCTATCCCTCTCCCTTCCTCTCTGTAAAAAATCAATAAAATATATTAAAAAAAAAAGAGTTCAAGTGTGACAATCAGTTCTAGCACAAAACCAGATGGCTTTTCCTCCATTCGGTTACGTATAATTCAACAAATGTAGGTGTAGAGATTGTCCTGTTGTGCTGGGGCTCGGGGTTCCAAAATGAAGGAGCCCACGACTTGCCCTGAAGGAGCTCACAGGTAGTGGTGGGGAGAGTCCTGTTAACCCATGTGTGCCATCCAGGGTGGTGCGTGCACCAAGCTCCGTGGGTCACGGAGGGGTGTGCCTGAGATAGTCAATCTGAGGGTGAAAGAAGAGGGGGCGTTTGGACTGAGCCTGGAAGGATGAGCCAGTGACAGTCTGAGAAAGGGAGGGACCTGGCAGGCAGAAGCAGCAGCACAAATTAAATGGAAAGTTAGGGGTGCGTGGAAGGAGGGGCAGGAGATGGGCTGGAAGGGCCATGCACGAGGGCCTTGAGTGAGTTGAGCTGTCACAGGCTCCTGAGAAGAGAAATGACACGATCGGGCCTGTATTGGGGGATCTCACACTGTGTCAATGCAGGGAATGGGCCCGAGGGAGGAACAGAAGGTGGAGATAGGCAGCCATTTGGGAGGTGAGTGTTGAAATGATCTCGGGGATTTGCACTGAGGTCTGAGCTCCGGAATCGCAGCAAAGACAGAGAGGCAGAGACAGACTCCTTCAATAAAGCCTCAGGGAACGGAAGGACAGGCCATGCAGGTGAGAGAGGAAGAAGGTGGAGGCTGACTCCCGGAGTTGTGGCTGGGGCACCACAAGGAAGAAAGTGCACGCTCTTTCCCAACAAAACCCTATTCCCAACACCCTCCAGCAGGTGGAGTATTGTGCCTTTTCCCTGTGGCTCCACTTCCTGATCTAACCCACCTTTCTGAACGTCCTCAGAGAGTCTAGACCAGTGATGGCGAACCTATGACACGCGAACTCATTTTTCTGGTTGATTTTTCTTTGTTAGGTGGCATTTAAATATATAAAATAAAT